GTAACCTTGATTCATCATAAAAACCCTAAATGATCAAATGACACTCTGTAAATGGGCCCCCTGCACTCGAATGTTTATAGCAGCACAATTCACAATCGCAAAGGTATGGAAACAACCTCGGTGCCCATCAATACATGAGTGGATTAATAAAATGTGGTATATGTATACCATGGAGTACATTCAGCTTTAAGAAACAATGGTGATATAGCACATCTTATATTTTCCTGGTTAGAGCTGGAACCCATTCTACTAAGTGATGTATCTCAAGAATGGAAAAACAAGCACCACATGTACTCACCAGCAAATTGGTATTAACGGATCAACACCTAAGTGGACATACAGGAATAATATTTATCAGGTGTCGGGTGGGTGGGAGGGGGGAGAAGGGGATGGGTGAGATATGTCAAACATAATGAGTGAGATATGCAACGTCTGGGGGATGGTCACGCTTGAAGCTCTGACTCGAGGGAGGAGGGGGGCATGGGAAATATACGTAACCTTAACATTTGTACCCCCATAATATTCTGAAATTAAAAAAATGGAAAAAAACCCTAAATGAATTTGCTATAGAAGGAACATACTTCAATATGATAAAGGCTACATAACACAGCTAACCTTATACCGAATGGAGAAAAATTGAAAGCTTTTCTTCTAAAATCTAGAACAAGACAAAGACGCCTATTTTCATCACTTTTATTTAACATAGTACTAGAAGTTCTAGCTAGAGCAATAAAACAAGAGAAAGAAGTCCAGGCTATCCAAATTAGGGAGAAGAAAGAGAAGATATTACAACACTGCAAGAGGCAGAAGCAATTAAGTTATTAGAAAAGGAGGACAAAAAGCTTTCAGGGTTGGCAGTGATAATAAATCTAAGCAAACTACTAGACTCTAATGAAAAGACAGTGCGTGTTGGACTGCATGTAATTTATAAGTATTGGGAAGGGCAAATCAAATTTGTCACCATTTATATATTGTCTAAGATAGCAACCCCACAAGGAAGAAAGTGAGTAATTATTAGACTCTCAAAAAATGTTTTACAAGTTTGCTGGATATAAAACTTATATGTAAACATTAATTGCATTTTATGTATTAGAAAATATACTCTAGGAAGATATTTTCAATTACAAAAACAAAAATATGTCTAGGAATAAATCTAACAAAATATGTGCAAGGTTTTCACAAAGAAAATATTTTTAAAAATTAAAGGGAATTAAATAAAAACTACGTGGAAGATTTACTTTGGTTGTGGATAGGAAGATTTCATGACATGAGGTAATCAATTATTCCTAAACTGAGTTCTAATCAATATCTAAACAGAATTTGATAGATAGAATGATGATATTTGATAGCATAAAGAAGTGACTATAATCAACAATAAGTTATGCTATACTTTAAAATAACCAAAAGGGTGGATCTGGAATGTTCCTAACACAAAGAAATGATAAATGCTTGAGATGATAGATGCCCCAATTAATCTGCTTTAACTAAACATCATATGTCTGTATCACAATACACATGTACCATATAAATATATACAGCTATTATGTACCCATAATGATTAAAAGTAAAGTTTTTAAAATTAGCATGCTGATTCAGAAATGTGGGTCTCTGAAGCACAAAAAGAGGTGTACATCTGAAGAGAAAGAGGATATGGCAGGGTGCAGGCTAGCTTTGATGTGGAATATGAAAAAGCCAGGAGCAGCAAGAAGTCTTAAAGAAAAAGGGAAATGTAAGAAGATTTACTCTAGATATCAAGAATTATACCATGGAAGTAATTAAGACATCAATGTTATGGCACAAGAATGGAAAATGTGACCAATGGAACAGCAGAGGGTGGCCTGAAAAGAGATCATCTATACACTGAAATTTAAAAGATTATGACATTTTCTTCATTTGGGTTTTATTTTTCGTTTTTCTAGAAATTTATTTATTAAATCATCTAATGTATACTTTTAACAACTTCATTTTTTTTCAGCATATTATGGGGTACAAATGTTTAGGTTACTTGTGTTGCCTTTCCCCCCTTCTCCCCCACCCCGGAGTCAGAGCTTCAAGCGTGACCATCCCCCAGACGGTGCACATCTCACTCATTATGTATGTATATGCCCACCCCCTCTCCCCCTCCACCTGCCCGACACCCAATAAATGCTATTTCTATATGTCCACTTAGGTGTTGATCAGTGAAACCAATTTGCTGGTGAGTACATGTGGTGCTTATTTTTCCATTCTTGATATTCTTCACTTGGTGGAATGGGTTCCAGCTCTATCTAGGAAAATACAAGAGGTTATATCACCATTCTTTCTTATAGATGAGTAGTACTCCATGGGCAAAGATGTGGAAACAACCGAAGTGCCCATCAACACATCGGTGTTCATTTGTTTTTGACAATCAAAGAGGGAAACTATGCAGAATTTAATAATAAATTTGTTATTTACATTAAAAAAGGGAGGTTGGGATCCCTAAATTATCTATAAAGAACCAAAATTAATGAGATCACATAACAGAAATCAAGATTTCCATGGCTAAGATCAAGCCCATGAGGGCTGTGGCAGTTAATTTTAGGAGTCAACTTCACTGGGCCATGGGGTTCTGGCGTATATGCTGAACATTATTCTGGGTGTTTTCTGTGAGGGTGTTTTTGGATGAGATTAATGTTCAAATCCATAGGCTGAGTAAAGAAGATTGCCCTCCCTAACATGGGCGGACCCCCTCCAATCAGTCAGTGGCCTGAAGAGAACAAAAAGCTGGCACTTCTCCAAGTAAGACTTTTCCCGCCGGATTATCTTGGAACTTCAGCATTGCGTCTGATTCTAAAGCAGCTTCCAGCCTTCAGACTGGAACTGGCAAATTTACTGTAAGATTTTGGACTTTCTAACTTCTATAATTATGTGAGCCAATTCCTTTTTTTTTTTCAAGATTATTTTTTACATTTTTTTATTGCAGCACAATATGGGGGTACAAATGTTTACGTTACATATACTGCCTTTGCCCCACCCGAGTCAGAGCTTCAAGCGTGTCCATCCCCCAGACAGTGCACATCGCACCCATTAGGTGTGAATATGCCCATCCTCCCCTTCCCACCTGCCAATTCCTTTTAATAAATCTCTTTATCATCTATATCTGCAACATCTCCGATGTTTCTAGGGAGAATCCTGACTCATGAAGGAATCTTAACTCCTTCAAAAGACTTAAATCTAAGTCTAATATAGACAAAATAGATTTGCTGTTTTACTGGTTGCTACCAAAAATTGCCCTGGCTACAAAGCAAGAATTTTATTTTTCAAAGAACCAACTTTTTGTTTTACTAATCTTCCATATAGTTTCCCTGTTGTCAATTTCATTTAGTTCTGATTTGATCTTAATGATTTCACTTCTTCTGCTGGGTTTGGGGTTGGTCTGTTCTTCTTTTTCCAGCTCTTTGAGATGATTCATTAGGTTGTCTATTTGTGATCTTTTCGACTTTTGGATATAGGCATTTATGGAAATAAACTTTCCTCTCAGGACTGCTTTAGCTGTGTCCCACAGGCTTTGGTAACTTGTGTCTCCTTTGTCGTTTAGTTCAAATAATCTTTTGATTTCCATCTTGATTTCCTCATTTATGAAGTGATCATTCAGCAGAAGGTTGTTTAGTTTCCATGACTTTGTGTAGAAGTGAGAATTCCTGTTAGGATTGATTTCTACATTTATTCCATTGTGGTCTGAAAAGATATATGGTATAATTTCTATTTTTTTAAAATTGTTTGAGACTTGCTTTGTGTCCTAGGATATGGTCAGTCTTAGAGAATGACCCCATGAGCTGATAAGAAGAACGTATATTCAGTGGTTTGGGGGTAGAATGTCCTGTAAATGTCAGTCAGCCCCATTTGTTCTAGAGTTTTGTTTAAGTCCATTGTTTATTTATTGATTTTCTATTTGGAGGATCTGTCCTGTGCTGTCAGTGGGTGTTAAAGTCTTTGACTATTATGGTGGTGTTGTTTATCCATTTGTTTAGGTCAAGTAGAGTTTGATTTATGAATCTGGGTGCACCAAGGTTGGGTGCATACATATTTAGAATTGTTATGTCTTCTTGTTGAACTGTACCCTTCACCATTATATAGTGACCTTCTTTGTCTTTTATTACTTTTGTTGATTTAAAGACTAAGTTATCTGTAATCAGCACCACCACACCAGCTTTCTTTTGGCTTCCGTTTGCTTGAAATATCGTTTTCCACTCCTTTATCTTTAGTCTAACTGCTTCCTTGCAGGTTAGATGTGTTTCCTGAAGGCAGCAGACACTTGGCTTGTGTTTTTTTTATCCATTCGGCCAGCCTATCTCTCCTGAGTGGGGAGTTTAAGCCATTCACATTTATTGAGATAATAGATAGGTGGGCCAGATTTCTGTTCATTATGTTGGGTTGAACTTTGTTGCTTTGTTTTCTCTCTTGAGCCATTGTAGTGTCCGGGCTTTGATCTTTAGCTTTGAGTAGATTTACATTCGTGAGTGTTTATTGTGCTGATCCGTGGGTAACACTGTTTTGAGTACTTCTTGAAGGGCTGGTCTTGTCTTGATGAATTCCCTCAGTCTTTGCTTATCTGAGAACGTCTTGATTTCTCCTTCATATACGAAGCTTAGTTTTGCAGGGAATAAGATTCTAGGCTGGGCATTGTTCTGTTTCAGAAGAGTGAGAACGGGGCCACAGTCTCTCCTTGCTTGTAAAGTCTCAGTAGAGGCACCGCCGACCTCCCTTACCCGCCACGCTCTCGCGGGGCTGCCGAGGCCGAGGCGGCGAGGAGGGAATGGAGAAGGCCCCCGGGGCTAGGCCTCCCGGCGGCCGGGCTGGCGGCTGTTGCCTGGGGAGGCCTCGAGGCGACTGGAGCCCGGGATCGGAGTCAGCTGGAGAGAGAGCCGCCCGCGCCGGCTTGCGAGCTCGGTTTCCGTGCGGAGATCTTGGTTCCTTTTGGGAAATTGGACACTACCCCAGGACTGGGTAGCTGTAACTACCCAATAAATATTGCAGCCATGCAGTCCATGCTTAATAAATTGAAGAGTACTGTTACAAAAGTCACAGCTGACGTCACTAGTGCTGTAATGGGAAATCCTGTCACTAGAGAATTTGATGTTGGTCGACACATTGCTAGTGGTGGCAATGGGCTAGCTTGGAAGATTTTTAATGGCACAAAAAAATCAACAAAACAGGGATTGCTTGGCATTTTGTACGGAACCAGTTTTTGCCAGTTTAGCCAACGTTCTTGGTAACTGGGAAAACCTGCCTTCCCCTATATCTCCGGACATTAAAGATTATAAACTTTATGATGTAGAAACCAAATATGGCTTGCTTCAGGTTTCTGAAGGGTTGTCATTTTTGCATAGCAGTGTGAAAATGGTTCATGGAAATATTACTCCAGAAAATATAATTTTGAATAAAAGTGGAGCCTGGAAAATAATGGGTTTTGATTTTTGTGTATCATCAGCCAATCCCTCTGAACAAGAGCCTAAATTTCCTTGTAAAGAATGGGACCCAAATTTACCATCGTTATGTCTTCCAAATCCTGAATATTTGGCTCCTGAATACATACTTTCTGTAAGCTGTGAAACAGCCAGTGATATGTATTCTTTAGGAACTGTTATGTATGCTGTATTTAATAAAGGGAAACCTATATTTGAAGTCAACAAACAAGATATTTACAAGAGTTTCAGTAGGCAGTTGGATCAGTTGAGTCGTTTGGGATCTAATTCACTTACAAATGTATCTGAGGAAGTCCGTGAACATGTAAAACTACTGTTAAATGTAACTCCGACTGTCAGACCAGATGCAGATCAAATGACAAAGATTCCCTTCTTTGATGATGTTGGTGCAGTAACACTACAATATTTTGATACCTTATTCCAAAGAGATAACCTTCAGACATCACAGTTTTTCAAAGGACTGCCAAAGGTTCTACCAAAACTGCCCAAGCGTGTCATCGTGCAGAGAATTTTGCCTTGTTTGACTTCAGAATTTGTAAACCCTGACATGGTACCCTTTGTTTTGCCCAATGTCCTACTGATTGCTGAGGAATGCACCAAAGAATATGTCAAATTAATTCTACCTGAACTTGGCCTTGTATTTAAACAGCAGGAGCCAATCCAGATTTTGTTAATTTTCTTACAAAAAATGGATTTGCTACTAACCAAAACCCCTCCTGATGAGATAAAACACAGTGTCCTACCAATGGTTTACAGAGTACTAGAAGCTCCTTCCATTCAGATCCAGGAGCTCTGTCTAAACATCATTCCAACCTTTGCAAATCTTATAGACTACCCATCCATGAAAAATGCTTTGATTCCAAGAATTAAAAATGCCTGTCTACAAACGTCTTCCCTTGCTGTTCGTGTAAATTCATTAGTGTACTTAGGAAAGATTTTGGAATACTTGGATAAGTGGTTTGTACTTAATGATATCCTACCCTTCTTACAACAAACTCCATCCAAGGAACCTGCGGTCCTCATGGGAATTTTAGGTATTTACAAATGTACTTTTACTCATAAGAAGTTGGGAATCACCAAAGAGCAGCTGGCTGGAAAAGTATTGCCTCATCTCATACCCTTGAGTATTGAAAACAATCTTAATCTTAATCAGTTCAATTCTTTCATTTCCGTCATAAAAGAGATGCTTAGTAGATTGGAATCTGAACATAAGACTAAACTGGAGCAACTTCATATAATGCAAGAACAGTAGAAATCTTTGGACATAGGAAATCAAATGAATGCTTCTGAGGAGACAAAAGTTACAAATGTTGGGAATCAGCAAATTGACAAGGTTTTTAACAACATTGGAGCAGACCTTCTGACTGGTGGGGAATCAGAAAATAAAGAGGATGGGTTACAGAATAAGCATAAAAGAGCATCACTTACACTTGAAGAAAAACAAAAATTAGCAAAAGAACAAGACCAGGCACAGAAGTTGAAAAGCCAGCAGCCTCTAAAACCCCAAGTGCATACACTTATTGCTCCAGTCAAACAGACTAAGGACTTGACAGACACATTGATGGATAATATGTCATCTTTGACCAGCCTTTCTGTTAGTAACCCTAAACTTTCTACTTCAAGTACCTTCACCTCTGTTCCTTCCATGGGCATTGGCATGATGTTTTCTACACCAATTGATAATACAAAGAGAAACTTGACGAACGGCCTAAATGCCAATATGGGCTTTCAGACTTCAGGATTCAACATGCCTGTTAATACAAATCAGAACTTCTTCAGTAGTTCAAGCACACCTGGAGTGAGCAAGATGACTCTGGGAGCAGCTCCCACTCTGCCAAACTTCAATGCTTTGAGTGTTCCTCCTGCTGGTTTGAAGCAGACCCAACAAAGACCTGCAGATATGTCTACCCTTAATAATCTCTTTGGCCCTCAGAAACCCAAAGTTAGCATGAACCAGTTATCACAACAGAAACCAAATCAGTGGCTTAATCAGTACCTCCTCAAGGCTCTTCAGGTATGGGCAGTTCTGTAATGGGAACACAGATGAACATGATGGGACAATCTGCCTTTGGTATGCAGGGTAATCCTTTCTTTAGCCCACAGAACTTTGCACAGCCAAAGTTCCAACTACTATGACCAATAGCAGTTCGGCTAGCAATGATTTAAAAGATCTTTTTGGGTGAGGTGTCTTGCTTCTATTTTGAAGGATTACTCAGTTTTAATCACGGGTGAGCTGATTTGCATCTTAGTCTAGTTGGCTTGGAGGAGCTACTGCTGTGGGAAAGTGAATGGTTCTGTGACAGAGTATATCTGTTTCCGTGCCAGCATTGTAGTTGTATGGACTTCTAACCAGTTGAGTTTTTTAAAGCATCGAGGATTGTTTTTTCCTCTTACCAACTCCTCTTCAGGTTTTTAAAGACCCAACCTTTACCAATCTCAAAGAAAAAAAGGACAACTGAGTTATCTTGAATAGCAGAATTTTTAAATCACATGTTTATTTTGGCTTGTAAATCTTAGTGTTATTAAAAAAACTGAGTTGATGGTCATTGCAAGCTCTTCTATTAAGTACTATGTGGTACACAGTGTACCTTCACAAGTCATTAGTCTTCATTTTAATATGTGAAAAATCTTGATGCTGTATTGATTTGTTTGCATTTAGTATGACTGAGAGAGAAAATGGTAAGCATAAAGAGAAGGATCAGGTCATTTGCTTTTTCCAAAATTACTTACTTTTCAGATGAACAAATGTTTAGTATGAAAAGACCGAGAAAATACTGCAAAATTTAACTTACCTTGATTTCATTGGTTTAAACACATTACTAACCATCTTAAATGCAAACTAGTCATTGTAAATTATATTTTAGCATGGTCTGCCTCAAATAGTAATGTATTTTTCTGCATTCACTTGGGTATATTTAGAATCACTTTTTTCTTACTGTGTCACAGAAGAGGTATATACTGATTTGTACAGATATTTGACGAAGCTCTGATGTGATTTCCCTGACTACTGTCTTCATATTTCATTTTGAATTCAGACTTCTGGGGTTGCAGCATATGTGAATTGCATTTTCAAAAGGATATTTGTAAGAATTAAACTATATTTAATGAGTAAACTTTTGAGATTTCTGCTGTATTGTTTCAAATGTAATAAACTTTACTTCTCTAAAAATGAGCAGTTGTATCTTCTGGCTAACGAACAGATTAATTTCAGCTTGCCATGATAGTCTGACTTTATCAATTACTGCTACTGAAGTTTAATTCTTACTTTTCTAGGAAATTTAGGAACCTTTTGTTTGAACATTTTGATGTCTATAATTAGCCATTTTTAGGAAGGAAAGAATAAATTCTCCTAACAGGAAACATGCTTTATGTTTAAAAACCTTTCCCTGATATTCTTATTTAATGTACTGATTATTCAACCACAGAGCCTTATGCTATAAATGTCATTGTATTTTTAAAAATTAGATGCCACTCTTATGTGATTACTTTAAAACTATCTTTCAAAGAACTATGTATGTATTGTAGTTACTGCCATAGAGTTTGTGGTTTTTAATTATCAAACCAGCAATCATTTAAAATAAATCATATGAAGTTTAGTGTGCTGGTACTAAGTTTATTCATTGAATATGGGTATTCATTGAAAAAATACATACAAACATATGCTCTATATATTTAATATATAGCACTTGATTTATAAAATATAATTTGATGACATTATTATTGCTGGAAGCATTCAGTTAAGAGGGTACTTTGAAACATAAAAATCAGTTTTTACACTAGTTTTCTGTGTGAGCTGTACTTTGTTACATGGTTTTAAAAAAAGGATTGATAGAATTGCTAAAGATTCTTATCCAAGAAATGAAAAACACTAGGAAGATCAAAATGTTTTTGCCAAATACATTCACAACTTGACCAAATTAGCTGTCTTATTGGTAACACAATATTAATATATCTTTTGGAAAAAGCTTACATATGGAATAAAATTGCTTAATGTTGAAAAATTTTTCTTTGTAACAATTCAGTAGCTGTTTATTGAGAAACTTTTATTTTGTAAAATAACTTGATGTCAGTGTTGGATTCCTAATTAGAAAGACATCTTAATATAACAGCTTATGTAACTTGAACTTCTAAATATGAAGATAGATTATTTGAAAAAATATGTAAAATTTGCTCATTCATCGAGGTAGTGGTGCTATGTTTTTACAAAATTGTTCCTATAAGTTTTTCTACTTTCTCAAAGGTATTTTATTTAAATCATTTCCATCAATTGAACTGTTATCATTGCCTTTTTCTGCTGAGAATTTGCCTCTGAAAAACAGTCCTATTTTTAGGCTTACGTCTTCTCATGTGAACGAAATTTTCAAAGTACTAGATCACCTTAAAGTTATTTCAGATATTCAAAGGATTTAAGTCCCTTGTGCTTAGAGTAGAGAATTGGTAGGTTAAGGAGCACCTGTAGACAAAAATGAACAAAGATGCCCTTTCTTTTGAATTGGTTCTTTATTCTCCTAATGCAAAGTGTGTGATATGTATAGAGGATGTATAAAAGGAAATGGAAATAGACTTTGTACATGTCTGGGTTTTGTTTTTTGTTTTTATTTTGGAATGCTTATTATAACCCTCCTTTTCACTGAATAAATTAAGGAAGTAGTTTTTTTTTTAACCTGTAAAATACCTCACATGGTTGCTTTTACATATAAAAAAAGGTAAATGTGAAAATACCTGATACAAGCAAAGTATGCACCAAATAAATTTTAGCTTTGATAAAAAAAAAATAAAGTCTCAGTAGAGAAGTCTCATGTTATTTGAATTGGCTTTCCCATGTATGTTACTTTCTTCTTTCGTCTTACAGCTCTTAGAAGGGCCTCTTTAGTTGATATTTTGGTCAGTCTGATGACTGCATGTCGTGATGTATTCCTGTTTGCATTGAATCTCCCAGGGGTCCTCTGAGCCTCTTGAACTTGTATATTGAGATTTTGAGGAAGGCCTGGAAAGTTTTCCTCTATTATATCTTCAAATAGCTTGTCCAACCTTTGCATGTTTTCTTCTTCCCCTTCTGGTAACCCTATGACCCTCACATTAGGTTTCTTCACATAATCCCACATCTCTTGTAGGCTTTGCTCTTTTCTCTTGTTTCTCTGCTCTATCTCTGTGACTGATTTATTTAATTGGAGGGTGTTATCTTCAATCTCTGAGATTCTTTCTTCTGTTTGATCTACCCTGTTCTTGAGGCTTTCCACTGTATTTTGTAGTTTCCTGAAATGATTCTTCATTTCCAGGAGATCAGTGAAACTTTTCTTCATTGTATCGATTTCTTTAGTGAATTTTTGTTCCAAGTCCTGGAGGCTTTTTGTGGTTTCTTTGTGTTGATTATTGAGTTGTTTTGCAGGTCATTGAATTTTCTTATGATCCATATTCGAAATTCCTCTTCTGTCATTTTGTTTGCCTGATTTTGGTTAGTGTCTGTTTCTAAGGGGCTGGTGCTCCTCTTTGGGGGTGTGGTTTCCATTTGGTTCTTCATATTTCCAGAATTCCTTCGCTGATTTCTTCCCATGTGGATCAGTTGTTGTTTCTTTTCTTTAGGTTTTCATTTGTGTATTCACACACCTTGTTTAGTTTCTGAGGTGGGTGGGTGGTGTCCTTCCCACTGGTCTCCAGGCTGCTCTGGAAGTCTCTGCTTCCAGTTCTCCTCCGCAACCTCCTCCCATGGAGTCTCCCATGGTCTCAGGTACCCCTCCTACCAACCCTCGTCCGATGTATGCTCATCTTCTTGCTTCTTTCTTCTGATTTCTGCTAGAATCTGTGTTTTCTGCAGAGACACTCTGTCTGGCAGTGTTTCTCATCCGCCATCTTGATTCCCTCCACCCAAAGCAAGAATTTAAGTAAACAGTTTGTGTAAACAATAGCAGTGTTTGTGGCAGGGATAAGATTCCATACATGGTTTATGACTGGAAAGAATCCAAGGGTTTTCCATTAAAAGCTCTTCATGGATCTTCGGGTCTGTCTACAAAAGGAACCCTACCACTGTGTTCGTGAGGTGTGGACTCAGGAACACAGGAAGAAAGCATCATGCCACAGTGTTGCTGACGAAGGGCTTAAGGATACCTGCTGCTAAGAAGTAGTAATACTGTTAATAAACACCCTACAGATGAGTTAATAACTAGGTAAGATTTCTCCTTTAATGTACTACTTCTTCAAATAGTTTGAATTAGGACATTTGGGGAGATTCTGCACTTTTAACAGTAACTTTCTGATGATTTTAATATACACTAAAGTTTAAGAACAATTAGCCCAGGGAGAAAGCAGATAAAACCAGCATAAAAGAACTGATCCAAAAAACAAACAACTGTGTGGGATGGGAAGAAAGGTAAGTAAATACCCCACAGTGTTAAGACTAAGGCTTGGTGGGTGTTTCTGTGCTCTTGTATGTACTGAGAGTATAGAACAGCTGGTAGAGGCATTAATCATTAACTCACACCAGATTAAAATAAGTTAAAAGCTGAAGGAAGAACCTCAGCATGAATTGATGGTCAGGAAAAAGACTAAAGCCTAAAAAACATTACTGTGTTAAAATATGCTTTTAGAATTAAAAAGTAGACCAAAAAATTCTAGAACCATTTAATGGGGGAGGTCATATAAAGTAACAGATATGGAGAAAATTCATTAATTTCTAATTTGCTTCCTTTCAAAGAGGAAAACAATCTGTGTATTGAAAAGGTGTCATCATGGAAACGAAGCCCTAAATAGAAGAGGACGTAATTAGAATTCACTTCAAGATCACTGGAGAGGTGCCTGCCTGCCTCTGCACACACACACCTCTGTGCCGGTAGCATTATATTTGACAAGCCAGAAAGCCAAGGCCAGCTTCTTACCAAAAGCTAGCCTTTGATTTTGCAAAATTTAGTTTTTCTGCTAAAACAAGATTTTGCCAAAGCATCATCACCTCCAAAAGACTTCCTCATATTGTGTTAATTGAAGTAATTCCCTGGCAATTTCCTTATGACACGTATATATTATTGTACATAGCCATTTTGTAATTTTTCTATTACTAGTATATCTCTCCCTTGATTCTTAAATTCCTAGAATTTAAAAAGTAATGTCTGTTTTGTTTATATCTTTAGTTTATATCTTTATAACAGTGAAAGGAACATATGTTAAATACATACACATATATGTGTGTATATACACACACACATTATATTAGTTTTCTAGGCATGCCATAACAAAATATCACAGCTTGGATAACTTAATCATCAGAATT